AAATTAAAAAAAAATAATATGTAAAAAATTTATTCTTAGGTAGGGCCAAACAGGCAGGGCAGCATACCTTACTCATTGCCTGACCCTGCCCATACATTAGTCTAACTCGAACATGCCTAAAACATGTTGAGCTGCTTTTTCTTGAGTTAGGTTGAGCAAAATTTACTAGGTTTGGCTAGGTATCTCGAGCAATTAGGCTATATGAATAGCCCTAACAAGAGAATAGGGATGAGTCATAGGAACAACAAAATTAAAACCATCTATCATTAAAGGGAAAATATAAATTAAAAATCAAAGGATGCATTTGGTCTCAACTTTTGAAAATGTAAGCATGCTCTTGTGCTCATTTGATTACAATAATTTACTTTTATTAAATTAATTTTTAACAAGTGAACTCTTAGCGAATTGAAAATTAAAGGCATATAATGTAAACTCCGAGTTAGATAAGTAATATTACCCTTATTAGTCCACCTTAATCTCTAAAAATCAAGGTAATCATGGAACTAATCCAATTAGATTACCAAGTTTATAAATTTATACAAATGGGAATCCATTTTTTATAGTTTAAAATACTTCCATACACTCTTATCATTCACAAATCAAAGTTTAAAACATGTGGGAAAGCCTAGAATGCAATTTAAGTTAATGCAGTTGCAAAAAAAGTGTAAAAACATCAATTTTTAGTTAACGCATCACATGTGTTGTGGCATACCACTCCTGCACTATGGCTTGCTGCCTTTGTACCATGCACTGTGACATATTGTACAAAATTTGATAGCTTTCAAGATAAACTTTCAAAACGTCCCATTTCTTCATCTGATATCCAATTGAGGTGATCTGAGTGTCTATAGAGAGCTTTTTCTTAACTCTAACTAATGACAATAATTTCATAATTAAATTATTTTCCTATCAAAAGTTGAAAACCCCTTACAAAATTTACTCCTTTTTCACATTGATACACAACAAGGGTGTCCAAACCATAATACAAGTGCTAAAAACCTACACCAATCTTTAAACCACACCCAATAAACTATTACAGACTCATGCAACACACTACAGTTAAACCATTTCACATAAATTATAATTTCAACACTCAACCCCTTTATTAACAAAAACATAAAAGGGGGAGTGATTTCATATAAAAGTTATAAAATAATCATCCATGTCATCATTTACAGTATACCCTACTTGCACTAATATTTTAACCCTATTTAAGTTTTACAACCCTATATCAGTAGCTTAGGGCACAAAATACACTAGATATTTTCAACAATAATTTAAGTAGTAAAAAAAAAGAATAATGTGATCTCTAAGTTGGCAAATAACTTCAAATACATATAAATACAATTAAGAAGCTTACAAGTAGGGTTTACTCAAAATCCTATGCCTTCAATCATTTTCTTAAATCCTGATCCAATTAGCTAGGCCTTATAATGTTAAGAAATAAGGATTGAGTACAACTACTCAATAATCAAGGTTAATTTAGTCTATACAATTACATATCGATTAATTATAGATGCAAATGGCAATTAAATAACTTCATAAGCTTCACATACATAAATTACAATTATAGTCTCGGCCACAAAACTAACAACTATATAATTGGGCACTAATGCATATTATCACATTTATTTTAAAAATGCATATCTTGGGGTCACAACAATAACAACTATGCACTTGTAATGAAAACACACCGGACTATGATAATAACAACCGTGTGGTTAAAAATAGAATGCATGATCAATACTAACTTTATACCCTCGCAATACCTCTGACATGAAACTGGTGGCTATTTAGTGGCAATGTCTATGACTCGAACTAGCCTAGCCTTCTACTCGTAAGGAGCTTCTAGGCTAGGATGAACCCACTCATTCGTGATACATAGGTTCTCCCGATACTAATAACTATAGGGTGTTGTACCTCTAATTTAGTCTTTTCATGAACTGATATAGACTAGTTAAGTTTGAGTCCCTTAAAAAATAGGTGGGATAGTCCCTAATCAACTATGGTATAATAACTACCTCCTGATTTCAACGGTCGGTGCCATGATAGACTTTTGATTTCAATAGTAAGTAGTCGTTATCATATGAATTTATCAATCTACTCTTCTCTCTATAGGCAAACTCCTGCTTTAATGATCATGCCATACACATATTAACACATAATATGCATAATAATAATATTTATCATATCATGTCATACTCACATAATTCTTATCCATTATACTCAACATAACTTATCAAATACATTGTCTTATGGCATTCATGTACATATATATATATATATATAAATATGCATGTTTATACTCAATAGCACCACTAACCTATGTGAAGTATACATATTATTTTTCATCATCTTACTATCATAAACTTGCACATATCAAATATAATTGCCAAATTTGCACCAAATAAGAGTTTATGAACATTATTGAGTTTCAAAATATTACTTTCCAACACATAATTAATTATTATACAAAAGTATAAACTAAATATCTTTTGATTATCTCAAATCTTTAAGAGGTCAAAGGTTTGCCTCTCAAAATATAACTTCCTAAGCTTTTCCAAATGGCTTGAATGGTACTAAGTTGAGTTAATTTACAATGAAATCACAAGGATATCATTATGATCCTTTATTTGAATAATTTCTATCCCTTTAACTCAACAATTTCCTTTTTACCAAAATCATAATTTCACTCCCAATCATACTCATTGAGTTTACTAAGTTCTAATGACCTATATTGTCATTAATGAGCTCAATCTACCATTAATAGCCATTAAAGACTCTAAACAACCCTTAAAAATGAAAATTTTAGATTTTAATGACACTTACCAACCAAGAGAGTATAAAACCATTATTACTAGATTTAAGTAGTATAAAATACTTACATTAACTCTATCTAAGTTAATGAGTTTGAATCCATAACTCATATGGATAGAAAATCATTATCCCAACTCAAACTCTAACTTCAATCTTCAAGAAAATAAAGGGAGAATGGAAGTAAAGAGCATAAGGGACTTATCTTTAATGTTAGGAGACTCCAAAATATCTCCAATGGTCCCTAATTCATGCCCTAATTGAGCAAATGACGTGCTTTCATTTTTTTTCCACTCTTCTAATTTTTCTCACAGACACAAGTTAGTTTAAGCAAAATTTTGACCATACATTGTAGCGGATGCATCACGCGCTATGGTGCATGGCATAGAGAGGCATGTCCTTTATTGCTTGCCTTTTGTGCGCAGCGTTGGACATGCTACACGCTGCGGCATGTGACATAAAGGCTTCTACTTTAGCTTTTCTTACTTTTTGATGCCTGGGTAACTCAACTTCACCTCGAACCTATATTTAAAATTGAAATTACAACCAAACACATCTATTAAACTTTTTTGACTACATACCATATTAATTCAATTAATCACTCTCTTTTATTTAAGTTAATCTTGATTAGCTTTTTAGAATGTTATATATGAAGACTCTAACTCTTCATTTGGATGAGGTGAAAAATAGAGTAAGGAAAACAAATAGGAAAACTCCTAAAAATATTTTAAAAAATTACTATTTTTGAAAATATCTCTTTCTAATTTTTCTTCTTCTTATTTTCTTTCCACTTTTCTCACCATTCAAATCAAGCCTTGCCCTTTGTTAGGATGTGGAGAAAAATAGAAAAGGAAGGAAAATTATGAGGGATAATTCTTAAGAGTAGTTAAAAAAAACTATTTTTTAAATTTTTTTCGTAAACTATTTTTTTTCTTCTTTCTATTTTTTCCCTCCATCCAAACCAACAAGGTTGCTAGTAATGAATATAGCTTTTTCATTGACAAGGTTGTAGTCATTGATAACCTCATTACCTCCTATAATTTGCAAAATGGTAGGCTGAATATAGTTTTCCATGGGGGTGCTGCGGTGTTGAAGTTGGAGATTAGTGGAGAGCATATTCATGGAAAGGACGGCCAACGAGATCCAAGAAGGTGCCGAAGAGCTACCACTCACCAACAATCATAAGCTCGTTCGCTCGTGGACACTTTCCGAGGACGTGATCAATATCTTCAATTCCCCCTTGGCATAGCATAAGCGACGAGGTGTCTTCTATGCCTTTCATCATCATATTCATAACAAGCTTCTTCCTCATCGCCAGGGCTAGCCATAGGAAAATGCTTACCCTTTGCCCATTATTCGTCATTTTCTTCATTACAAATTAATATTAGCTGCAACTGTAAGCAATTAATAGGAACGGCTCACAGTGCAAGTGCCATTTTTTTTTTTTGGTTAAATTCCACCTGCGCTTGGCTTTACCTTCGCTGTCAAATGAGCCAAGTTTAACTTCAACATGAGATAGGCACTAGTAGATTTTGAAGAAGACTCCAATCCCACTTACCTTCTTCTGGACTGTCCAACTGATCTGGATTGTCAAATTTTTTCCCAAATGATCTAAATTTAAAATCTTAATTTAATGCAGTCATTTTTCAATAATGAAAATATAAAAATAATAAACCCTAAACCAATGTTTTGATTTTTTTTTTTTGGAGTACAGATGTTTTTATTTTGGACTCAAATCTTCTAAAGTTGGGATTAGTGAATTTTTGAAAGGTTTTCCTTTTTAAAAAAAGAGAGAAGATTTTATATTTTATAAAAGAATAAAAAATGAAGAAAAAAATTTAAAAAAGAAAACTTCACTTAAATTTACCAATCTCACTTTCAGATGATTTAAATCCTTTTATATTTGTTACAAGAGTACACAAATTAGGAGGTTAGTTGGATTCTGAAAATATCGATGGCAAAGGCAGAGAAATGGTCTTGTGGAAGATTTTTGAGTTTGTAACCTTATGCTACAAATGAATCATCCTTTCAATATTTAAAAAAAAAAAAAAATCGACGGCGGATTTCTGGCCCCACGGACCACACGTGAGTTCTGGGCCATGTTGGCCTTTTTGAGAGCCTCTGCTTCGTTTTGTTTTGGTTTTTAATTTAAACTTAATATCAATAATCCAACATCAATCACACACAAATATGATATATGAGAAGAGAGTTCTATCTGTATCTCTAGCTGCAGGTGGGAGAAACCGTGAGGGACGACGGAGTTATGTCTGCGAAAGAGTCATCGGAGTCCCGGAACCAAGCAAGGCTGGCCATCCTGGAACTGGCCAACATGATCAGTGTGCCCATGTCCCTCAATGCCATCGTCCGCCTCAACGTTCCCGACGCCATCTGGCAGTCCGGCTCCAACACTCCCCTCGCCGCCTCTGAGATTCTCATGCGTGTCCTCCCTTCCGGCGGCGACGCCGAAAACCTCCAACGCATCCTTCGCATGCTCACCAGTTATGGGGTCTTCGCCGAGCACATCGACTCCGGCGGCGAGAGAAAATACTCCCTGACCGACGTCGGCAAAACCCTCGTCACCGATGAAGAAGGCCTGTCCTATGCGGCTTACGTGCTCCAGCACCACCAGGCTCGTCATTTTGAAATCCGGTAACATTAATCGCTATATTGAATTTCCTCTGTATCTGATTTTTGCATAAACGGATAAACAGGACGCGCTGATGCGGGCGTGGCCGTTGGTGCATGAGGCGGTGAAGGACTCGACGGAGGAGCCGTTCGTGAAGGCTAACGGACAGGCGGCGTACGATTACTATGTGAAAGAGCCGGAGATGAACGGATTGATGGTGAAGGCGATGTCCGGGGTATCGGTACCGTTCATGAAGGCGGTGCTGGAGGGATACGATGGGTTCTTAGGGGTGGAGAGACTGGTAGACGTGGGTGGGAGTGGAGGGGATTGCCTGAGGATGATCCTACAGAAACATCGAAGCGTGCGAGAAGGGATTAACTTCGATCTGCCGGAAGTGGTAGCCAAAGCGGCCGTCATTCCAGGTAAGCCGTGTGAAAGCCACCAAGTCATTGTTGGGGAAGATACAGATCGGGGAAGCAGGGAATCTGTGGTTCTACTTTCCTATTGGCTGATATCTGCTGCTGCTGCTAATTTATTTGTCAGGGGTAACCCACGTTGGTGGTGACATGTTCAAGTCTATTCCCCAAGGCGATGCCATCTTCATGAAGGTGCGTCTTTGTTAACTTTTAGTAATTTGATTGATGCCCTTTTAATGCCACTATGCCCTAATGCCCTCTTCTAGTCTTACTCCCTTCATTTTTATATATATAAAAAATTATATTATATAATTTAAAAAAATTAATTAACCATAATAATTATTTTTAAAAATAAAAAATTAAATTAAAATGCTTTATATTAATCAACATATATATATATGTATTAATTATTTTTATTAATATAAATTATGAAGGTGATTTAAAAATTATATAATAAATGATTATTAAAATATATAATTTTATTTATATAAAAAATAAATAAAAATAATAATTTTTTTTATAAATAAAAATGGGTGGTGTGTCTTAATTCTTACTTTAGACTTAATTGCATTTATTGATTTTTGTTTACTTCTAATACCCCTAGTTACTGCTCTACGACACCCGGGGGGGGGGGGGGGGGACCGGTAGGCAGAGTAATTGTTACCTGTGGAGACTGGAAAGGGTAGCATCCGGTACTCCGCAGTGTGTCGGTATAACTTTCAGATATGATTGCATTTTTTCAAAAAAAATATCTGTTGTACTTATTGTTTCTTACTTAGATATATGGGTGTTATTGTATATTTACAAAATTATTTCTATCTTATACTTATATACTGCACATATTTATCAATGAAAATAATAACAAATGAGATGAGAAATTGAAATAAAGATATGTATCGTTTTATTTTTATTTTATCTCTTTTCCTCTTCATTTGAATATTTAAGTATTTATACTTTTTCTGTTGAAAAGTAAAAGACATTTTTTTAAGGATTAGATATTAAAAAATTTGTTATTACTATTCTAAAGTTAAATGTTATTAATAAATAAATTATTTTATATTTATTTTTAAGTAAAGCAATCCATTAAGCAAGGATAAGTATAGCATCATATATGATGCTAGGTTAAAAATTGTTAATTAATTTATGGAGAGTGAGATTATTAACTAAAAATGTATTGTATTTTTGAATTGGGGAGTATTTAATAAACTTCAATCTAATTACCTAAACTAACTCATAACCTGTTAGATTGAAAGTGTTCCCACCCATCCCATCTTGAGTTGAGCATTCAGGTATATATCTCTCGAGGCTTCGGGGATCTCGGATAAAAAAAAAAAAAAAAAATTCTTCAGCATGCCAGATATTCTAGGTATTAATTAATAAAACATAAACTCCTCCAATGTAATAGTTTAATCAAAGTAACAGAATGTTATAGTTTAATCTCTTTATTATAAATATCGTCGTCTTTTTTTTTGGATAAATAATTCGATTCATTATAAAAAAAATACTAGGTTACAGTAATAGATAACTAAAATGGTTCCACGGGGAAAGGGGGAAAACAGTAGGTAACTAGGTATGTATCGACTTACAGTGTCAGATTTAATGCCAGATATTATTAAAAATTGAATCTAAACTCTTAAAATTTTAATCTAAAAATGATGTGAAAAAAATGGGGGGAAATGGAGGGTAGAGAAGTGGGGACACTCTCTTCCCGTTCCATGACAAGCTCACGGGAGTGGCATCTTTTTCTCAATCGTAAATAGTCTATTATTGGTACTGTAAATGTACAGTACTGTGGTATCAAAGGTGCATACTTTCCTTTTTAAAAAATTATATAATTGGGAAAAAGTGGGGGAAAATGTGAGATGCATGGCGAAAATTAAAATATGGGTGTGGGATCGATAATCAAAAATAGATGATAAATGTAGGGATTACTGTGAAAAAAAAAATGGGGGTGAGGCTTGCTATGGAATTGCAAATTTAATTTATAAGAATATACACAACCCATTGACAGGATTTCTTGTATTTTTAATATATAAAAAAGTACTAAATTATAAAGTAAATTAAATTGCTTTTATTTTTCGTATGTATAGTACTAAATTGCCAAACAAAAAAGTTATTATTAGAATAACATTTAATATATTAGATGTATGTGGGTGACAAATTTTGAAATAAAATGTGATGTTTAACTTTTTAATATGCGTGGGAGGGAGACTGGATCTCCAAATTATAAAATATAATAATTTATTACCTAAATTGGGCAAGTAAAAGGTTATAGAATAAAATAAGTTGCCATATATAGTTTTAACATGTAAATAGATAAGAAATGATAAAATAAATTGTTTTTATGATAGCGAATCGTAAAATAAATCAAGTTTATACAGTCTAAAAGAAACAAATTTTAAAACAAAAAATATGTTTTAGAAAGGGAAGGGATGAATGAGAAATTTTAGTGAGTTGGATTGAAAGAAATAAATAAATGAGATTGAAAGTTTTATTTCATTTTTTCCTCACATTTTTTCTTTATTAAAATTTTATATTTTCACTTATAATTTTTTCAAAAAAAAAAAGGAACAAATTGAAATTTGTACACTACACAATTGTTGTTGAGAATATTATGCTTGGACATCGACTCATTTTTTACTTTTTTGCTGATTCAATATGGGACTTTGTTACATCTCTTCTGGTAGCTTGTCATAGGTATCTTATTTATATTGTTGACCACAATTTTCTTAAAAGAGACAATCTGTTGTCGAAGAAGATGACATTTGGATCCAGAGATTGTATTTATTATGGGTATTAGTGTTTGTACCAAATAAATTATTGAAATTTAGATAAATGATTTTAGATTCATACTTGACATGACATTAATGAATAAGTGAATTTATCTAAATAATTGATGTGAATTTTAATGATTCAGATAATATAAACATTCAGTACTTGTAGTTGTTGAATCCAAATTCACTTTCTTTGCATATGAACGGATCTTGACTCATTTATATTATCTGTTTCAAAAAGCTTTAGAATATATATAGGGCAATACTGTCACTGTGCACTGCAATCGATTTTAGAATGCCAAGGACTTATTTATCGAGACATTTCATCTCTCATACGTTTAGTCGTGTGGAGAGAGAGAGTTATGTGTGCACACCTAACAATTTTACATTACATATGTACATATGCCAGACAAAGCAACTAATTAACCAACACTTTAATGTCTTGTGTCTTCCTTGGTGGTTATATTAATAATGAAAAGGAAAAGAGAGTAATAAATTAAATGGGGGTGTTATTTGATTTTACAGTGGATACTAACAACTTGGACGGACGAGGAGTGCAAGAAGATACTGGAGAACTGTTACAAGGCGCTGCCGGAGGGAGGAAAATTGATAGCTTGCGAACCGGTGCTGCCGGAGGAATCCGACGACAGCCGCAGAACTCGAGCGTTGCTAGAGGGCGACATTTTTGTGATGACAATCTACAGAGCCAAAGGTAAGCATCGGACTGAAGATCAGTTCAAGCAGCTTGGCCTTTCTGCTGGTTTCCCTCGTTTCCGTGCCCTCCATTTTGACTACTTCTATGCCCTCCTTGAATTCCAAAAGTGAGAATTGAGATATATATGTACCCACTGCTTCTCGCATGTTATTATTTCCCAGCCACTTCATGGTTCATTTCCAGCATGTCTTCATTTTGAATGTGTTCAAGGCTTTAAGCCTTCTAAATTTGTATAATTATTATCATATCATGGATCAATAATAAATAAAAAAAATATATGATCTTAATCTAATTAGACAACAAAACGTTTGCTGCATCATCTAATTAGGGGCAATAATTATATATCACTAGGTCTTATATATGCCCATTCCTTACAGAGCGGACGTGATGCTAGAGACCACTTTAGTTATTTATGACTCACACGACTTCTAGCATAGTACTCCTTCGGACTTCAATATTGGTAATTACCTCGCGATATTTAAGTGTTTTTTAACCTCTTTAAAAATTATACATTTTTTTCAATTATACGCTAATTAAATATTCTATATAAGTGTGTTAATAATTATAGGAGGCTTAATGTCTTGTCATTTATCTGTCTCATGTTATTTTCCTAGCTTTTTGAGCTGTAAAATTAAATATTTAAACTTTATAGTTAAATAATTCTAACATTTCACTTTTAATATATAATATAACAAATCCATTTATTTTGTAACATGATGGTTCTTAAATCAAATTTAAGCAATTTAAATTATTATTAAAGTTCTTTTAATAGTAATAACTGTTAGTATATTATTAATACTCTTTAAGTAATATATGTATTTAAAAAAGAGTTTAGTCTTTTAATAACTATTAGTATATGCATTTTACCTACCCATCTAATTACAGAATAATTAAGAACTTGTTTGTTTTAGCTTGTTTTATGAAAAAATCACTTATTTTTTGAAAAAATTTATTTTGTGAGTTTTTATAATGTTTGTTTAAATTTTTAAAAATAATCAGAATTTATAAAAAAGGTAGATTTTGATTATTTTAAAAAAATTACTTTCCATAGTTTTTAAGAATAATCTAATATAGTAAATGAGAGAGTCCATTAGTCAACGTTCATGTGCCTGAGTATGTAGCAGAAGAGGTGGGATATTGAAAAATATCATAAAATTTTAAAATAATATAATAATAAATTATTTTTATAAAACAAATATCAAGAAAGATATTATAAAATTTAAAAATAGCCAATTAATAATTACTTTTTTATTATTGTAACTAAACATTAAATGATATTTACTTTTTACAAAATCTTTATAAAATAAATATATTTTTATAAAATCTATAGACTCTCTAAAAATTATTTGTTTTTTAATTTTAAACAAACGGGTCCTAATTGATATTGGGAAAAAGAATGATTAATTAATATTGTTGGAGTGTTCGTGCTTCATAATTCCTTTGCTTATTTGGGTTTATAATTGTTTTTTAAACTTCATTCTCCTTCTTTGTTTTTTAAGACTTGTGACATTTCACAACTCAATGTCAATCTTAATCTTTGAATTGAAATTAAATGTATATTTACATATTTCTATTGCATTAATTAGAGGTTAGTTTCTAATGGTGATTGTAATGGATAGTTAAGTCTAGCACATCAAAACATCACCATAAAAGAGAGAAAACGTAGGCTCTTGATTGCCAGTTTCTCAATTCTAATTGCGAAAAAGAAATCCATCTATTTGACTTACTGCAATTTTTTTTTAATTTTCTATCTGGATGCTACAGTATTCTTTAGTTCTTTCCCTATATATTGCTTTGACAAACTTATTTTCTTGTTTGTTTGCTTCATCATGATCTTTTATAGTACAAATGTTGAAATTGCAATTCCGATTCAATATATTGATTTGCACAACTTTGTTTTCATGGTTGAAAGAATGTTGTGCTCAAAGATCGAACTCACATAATATTCATATATGTAGTGTTCTAATGTATACTAACAAGAGGGTGTTATTTGATTAATTGAGTTGATAAGACTCTTCATACTAATAGTAGACCAAAAGGAAGTCTTATCATGTTTGTATGTAAATGTTATACCTATTGAAGGAAGTGTCCCTTTACAGGAAGATGCATATAATACTTAAGAAGTGTATACTTGTGATATGATAATGGTTCTGGTTTTTAACTCCCCAACTCATGTTTTACATTAACATATATTACTAAATTCATTATAACTAATTTAAATATGTGAACTCATTTTTTCCCCAATTCTTCAAGAGTAAGAGGCAAAAGAAATCAAACTCAACCGGTATGGAATTTCGTTCTTTAAAAGATGTGGAGATTGCTTGATCAAAGTGGGCCGATATCAATGCAGAGCGCGAAGATCTGGAAAAGAAAAGAGATTGTCTATTTTGCTACGTATTGTCAAAGGTAGGGGTGGGAGCCTTGGAAAAGCCCTTGTCCTTTTATTGCAAAAAAAAAAAAAATTGTACAAATCTATAATGTCTTTGATTTTATGAAGGATGCCGTCAGCAAGGTTTCTGACTATGGCTACAAGCATGGTCATTTTCAAATTGATGCTGATGATCAGGTCATTTTAAGGAGAAGGTATAAAGACACTCACATGTTTCATCTTAAGCTTATAATTGTTCCATTGTATTTATATATTTAGCAAGCTTAATAATTCCATTCTGAATAGGAAAGTAGCAAATGATGATAACCATGATATTGCTATTTTCTTGGGGGTTAATTATGTTTTTCTTTTGTTGCAGTATGAGTTTAGCCATACGGGTCATAGTGGTAGGGGAAGACGTCAAGGCAAAGGGAGGGCTGTGGTCGAGGAGCTTGAAGCGTTGTACCTGAAAGATAGACTCAATCATCAAGAGCTTGAAATTGAAACATGCACTTCTGTTTTGATTAAGACCGGATCTAGAGTGTTGCTTTTGCATAAACTTCTCAATTATATCCTAAAAAGCTATTCAGCAATTTGTAATATATTTTGTGACATTTGCAGAACTTCCAAACAATGTCAAATGCCTATGCACAGGCATATCCATTTGTTTAACTGTGACTCATTTTAGTCAAAATTTACTCTTCCATTGTGATAGGTAACTCTATAATATGTGAATACCAATAACAGTTACATTAATTGTATTAAAAAGTTAAACATAGTCTATTAATTTATAAATATCCGTTGTATGTTAAAAAAAAACATTGACCAAGTATGAATTATGAAATCAGAAGAAAAATAAGAGAGATTTAAGGTAAGAGAAATGAACAAGGTACTAAAAAATTAGAAAAAATGAGGAGTAATTTTTATTCATTTGGACATTTTAAATGTATGGTACATAATTTTTATTTATAGACTCCAACCTAATAAAGATTCTAGAGCCACCTATGTAACACCCTTTAAAAAAAATTAAATAAATACACACACACACTCCAAATATAATCCCATACACATAATCTACATAAGATTTTATAAGTAAATAGGTATGGTATAATGTAATAAGATATATGTGTAAGTAGTAATAATAATAAAATAAATAAATACATAAAGAATAAATATAGAATTCCTTTAAGAATTTCAAAAGATTTATTTGTTCTCTTGTATTTTGCACAATACTGACTAAGATATTAATTATTTAATTTCTAAGAGTTTTTTAAAAAGAAAGGGGTAGATGTCACGAGAAAAACAAAAATAAAGGGACAAAAAAAAGTGTGTGATGTGATAAATTTGATAAGATGTGGGAAAAGAAAGAAAAAAAATGTGAAGGATGATAGCTAGACATTTTTGATGAAGTAAAAAAAAAAAAAAGAGAATAGTATAGGATGATATAACTTTAGCAGGTCCATTCATTCTAAGCTTGATCATTACTCTCATTTTTGTTTAGCAACTTGTGAGGAGGGAAAAAGAAAACAAGAGAGTGGAAGATCTAAGGGGGCAAAAAAGAAGAGAAGAAAGGAAAAAATAAAAAAATACAGTAAATTTTTTTCTCAAATATCATTTATATCTTTTAATTATATTAAGATAATATGTTTATCTTTAGCTAATATCATTGTTTAATCGATATTAAATTTTTTTAGATATTTATTACTAATTATCCTGATATTTTTATATGTATTTTAGTCATACAATCACACATTTTCAGACTATATATATATATATATATATAATTTGATTTTCTTGCTCTCTGTTGTGCACTGAAGTTGGGTACTAAATGAGTGAAAAGAAAATGATATGAAAGTAAGGAGAAAATCACACATAAGTACCTCACTCATATTTTAGAAGTTGTGTAATTTATGCTTCTTATAATATATATATATATATATATATATATATGAGTTGTAATATAAAGCAAAAGGAATAAGAAAAAGAGAGAAATTACACATAAAGACCACATTCACATGTTAAGGATCTTACACGCGCATGCGCAGACCACATTCACATGTTAAGGATCTTACACGCGCATGCGTGCGCACGCACACACATTTAGTTAGTTTGTATCCCTTTTTATAAAACATAATTATTTATTTACCATATACTTATTCATTTAGAATTATTTGTGCTTATAATTTTAGTTTTAAATAATAATTATTCATTTACTTATTTAGTATAATAAATTATAATTAGTTATTTCTATAATTGTTGCATTATTAGTGCTTATTTATTATTCTATATATCATACATGAACTGCTTAAATTTATTTACATTAATTACCTTCTTAAATAAATAATTAGTATTTATTTTATGCGCACATATTAATATGTTTTGGCAGTTACAATAGTTATTTAAATCATACATTGACTCCTTAAATTTATCTTAATTACTCAATTAACGTTTATTTCTCCTTATAATTATTATATATATATATATATATATTCATTGTTATTAATATTTAGTTTAATAATAATTGTTAATTATTGTGCCAATGTTTGTTTGTTTTTTTTGAGTATTTTGACTATTAAGAATAAAATTCTCACACACAAGGAATTCTTTTTACGGAAGAAAATTTGGGATAAACCCAATGAAATTCATAATCAAAAAAAAGATTTAGGTATAAGAAACTATTTTGTGGATCCACTTTAAGGGACACCATAGTACAATTTTTTATGATAAAATACGATCAATTTGAAATTGTTTATTTTCAATTGTTTGATAATTGTTTTAGTATTGTTGGCTAACATAATTAATTATTCATACTATGCTATGATTATTATTTTTTAAAAAAAGTTTTTTGCATTCAAGACAGCTGGACCATTATTAGTTCTTAAATAAAGATCTTATTAAGAATTTAAATTCTCATTTGATTATCTTTGTAATCTATCCAAACGCCAACAGTGAGGTTTGTCATGGAGATCAATTGGATAGTAATCATAGTGTCAAATTATGGACCGGCCTAAGTGATAGCGGACCATATGAGGTCTCCGCTGCCACCTACTCCAGACCAAATAATACCACTCTCACCCTCCCATTCATCACACCTTTTATTTTTTCCACCACCATTAATATCTTCAGTAGCACTGACTTTAGCCACCCCTTCACCTACCATGTCATCGCCGCTGCCACCATCACTCTTTGTACAGCCATCTCCACTGTTTATGCAACCACCACCACCACTTATGCAACCGCCACCTCCATTTATGTCTCCACCACTGTAGCCTTTTTATATGCAGCCTACCCCAATGCGAATGATACCTTCAAACATGCCTAATGGGCATTATTAGATATTTTAGGAATATATATATTAAGAAATATTCTAGTATATTTTTTTTGGTGCAATTACAAAATCTCCTTCTCCCACACTTGTTAGAAATGCCTAAGTTGACCTGGTATAACTTAACTAAACAAATATATACATATATTTATATGATCTTATATTAATGTGTGCAAAAATAGTTCTTCATAACTTAATTTATAATTTAATTTTTATTTCTTTAAATATGGTATAAAAAATGTGTACAATATCCTTTAACTCTTAAATAAATTTAATTGATGATACTAATGTCAAAATAAAAAAAAATCCAACCTGATAATCAATCAAACCATCCTAAAGGGGAGAGGGGGGTTATAACCTACATGGGGGCAAATTTCAAAAGCATTAAGAATATGCAGAACTAAATTCCACCTTTTTAACATATAAAATTAAAAAAAAAACAAAGGAGCCTAAAATTAGGGGGGGTAGGGGAGACTTGCTATGGCTCCAATCCTATCCAAGAAATACAATTAATTAAATTACAAGATCAATTCACATAAATCTATAATATGTAATCTTGAATTTATGGGTATTAAGCATGAAAAAAAACTCCTACAACTGAGTTATGAAGTGTGAAGTATAAAAAGATAAGAGTTGGAAGAGCCTATGAACTTTCACATAAACTAAAGCTGTACAAAAGACGAATAAAACAAGACTTCAGCTAAACTTATTATCATCTAATAACTACACTTTGTCTATGCAGGTGTACAAAGGCTGGATCATTATTGGAAATGATCTCGTGGAACACAATGTTATTGAATTTATTGACTTTCTCGCATGCAATGAAACTAATGCTTCCATTGAACTGTGGAGAGGATGTTTTTATCAACAGATGTGCCAGCTGTAGTTGGATACTTATTTGAGCATTACTTTACACATTTGCTCAACTTATCATCATAATTAATTAGTTAATGATAAAATAACTTTATAAGACTAGATCAGACCAAGTGACCTGAGGACTCGGATTCTTGTGCAGTCCAATACAAAAACGAAGCATGGTTTTATTGGTCATTTTAATCTTTTGAGTCAATTTTTCAAGACCAGGTTTATTAAGGTTGAACTGGACTGCTTGGTCTTTGCACAACCCTAACATGAACTAATATTTATAAAAGGATTAAAATTGTCGCTTGCGTTTTACACGCATCCAACCATTCAGCTCATCCGATGAACAAACGCGAGCCAGATGAAGACTTGGAGAGTGCACCTAGGAATGATGTGTACATTAATATCAATTTCTATATTTGGGGTAAGGGGTAAACCTCCATCACCGCCCACCTCAATTCTTCTTCCTGCTAAAATTCCTACATCTTCGATTATTAACTAACGCCGCGAGAACACATCAATAATCAGCACACTAAAATGAGCTTAGCTATGAAACATTTAGCAGTATTAGTGAAGCGAAATCAGGCCAAGTTCCGATAAAAAAATTTCTAAATTAGAATCGCTATCAGTCCCATGATAAAGAAAAAAGCCGAAACCTCAATTCAATCACAACATAGTCATCCAAGGCGACAAGTTTTAGATTGAGGAAATTACTCCAAGGTCCCAAAAAAGGTTAGTCTAATTGTTAAACAGTTAGTTCATAACTTAATTGTTAAACAATTAGATCATAATTTATAAGGTCATGAGATCAAATTTCACTATCAATGTGAGAAGTTTGTTGATGGACTCTACGGCATTTTTTCAGTTTGGAGGTATGCTCTAATTTTAAAGAATAACTCACCGTATCAAAAATAGTTACTCCAAGGTCCCCCATAAGAATTTTACGAAGAGGTCTGGTGAAATTCACAAGCTATCTCTAACTCCCAAATTTATTATTTTAAATATATTGTTAAGTTAAATTACAAAAATACCCTTATTTTGCCTTTAAAAAAAAAAAGAATACGCACCACTAGGGCATTGAAACCATTTAATATATATGTGCACAAAATTGTTTGTGTGTTAGAAGTTTTTTATTAATTTTTTTTCACTATTTTCCCTCTAATAAAATTTTATAATCCTAATTATCATTTTAAAAAATTAAACGCCTTAGAATCGCTTCCCACATTCTCCTCCTTTTCATTCACTTCAATTAAATCAAGATTAAATTTCTCGTGAGATGCACAGGTCTAAAACCTATCTAGCCCATGTAGTTCTATAATATATACAGTAAAGTGATGAAATAAAATTTATATAATTGTATAGAATTATATTATGCTCCCTCCGTTTAAAAATGTAAGGCATTTTTAATCGAATCTCACCCCTCAAAAAAGTAGTTATTTATTTTTAAACTAATCCTATCTTTTCATATTTACCCCTATAAATACCCTAAAATAAATATAAAGTAAATTCATTCAATAGGGGCACTTTTAATAAAAAGACAATAATCACACTTTAAAAGACTAATTTTTTTATATTTTTTAATATCTAACAAGGAGGGAGTACTATTTTATTAGTATAAACTATAAAATTCTGTTTCATTATCATTATTAACCGTCTAACTGCATCAGCGGTTCAGGTCCCTTTTAACCTCTTCTCTCCCTAGGAAGTTTTTTCCTTTCATCAGCCATTCTTACTCACGATTCCTTCACTCCGTCATTCCACTTTGCCACTATGTCTCTCCTGCACGTACCTGAAGTCCAGTATCCTACTCTCAATTCCATTCCACTGAGCGAAGGGAGGATTAGGAAGATCCTGGATTTTCTCAAGCATGACCTGAAATTCAAGACTCCGTATCAAGTACTCGTAGATGCTCGATTTTTCTACCATTTTTATCACGAGAAAATCAAATTGAAGGAGTCACTCAGAGGATTCCTGAAACGAAGGGTAACTCTCAGAACCTCCAGGTTATTTGCCATCCTTCTTTGATTTGCTATCTATTTAGGTTAGCTTTACACGCATTGCTTTTACTCCTCTTCTTTGTCCTCAGATGTATGCTGAAGGCTCTGGAACGGGAGCCCTACATTACTGAAGAGGTCTCCATAGCTGCTAAAAAGCAGCTCCAGATTAAACGGTACAATCTTCTTTTTAATTTCTAAGCTAGACATTTCAGTAGAGAATTATAGATTTACTCTGTTCTGTTTTGTTTTCTCCTGTTTAATAGCTAAGCTAGACATTTCTGGATTAAGAATATGAGTTAGAGGATTCCAGATTTACTTTGTCATGTTTTGTTTTCTCCTTTTTAATAGCTAAGCTAGACATCCAGATTAAGGATTTCATTTATGTTGAGCTTTGTTTTCTCTAAACGCATTTTTCTGTTCTCTTCATCTGATGATTTTTTTTTTTAGCTGCAAGCATGGAGGGGGGAATGACCTGTTTCAGTGTTTTAAATCCATTATCGAAAAGGAACCAAGCAAGTCTTTCTTGGTTGCCTCTCCATGCGAAGAACTATGGAGAGAATTTGACAGAGTTAGTTCCCACTCCTTTTGGTTTCTTATTTTTATTTTTGCCCCCCGAGTTTTCTGTTAATATGAATTTACTTTTTTCTTGCTTTTGGTTCGTAGGCACCAAATATGAGGGTCCCTACAATATACTGGGACGGTAGTGGTGCTGACTTTATGCTCAGAGCACCTGAAGAGTCCTCTCCCAAGAAGGAAATGAAAGCAGCAGGGTCAAAACTCAGAGCACCTGAAGAGTCCTCTCCCAAGAAGGAGATGAAAGCAGCAGGGTCAAAACTCAGAGCACCTGAAGAGTCCTCTCCCAAGAAGGAGATGAAAGCAGCAGGGTCAAAAAGAAAGAAAGGAAAGGGGGAGGGTGAAGGAAGTTCCAAGAAGAAGATCAAGTCAACAAAGTTTAGTGGATCTGGCTGAAGAGCTTTGTTACTGTTACTGTCTAACATACTACTTGTGCCTGTGTTTGCGTTTTAGACTGATATTGTCTTTTGGGTATTTGCGTGGATTTTGGACGTGATATATAGGTTGTGATGCTTGACATTTTGGACCAATTTTCTATCAACTAATAACTCCTTCGAACATACTACTGTGTTAACGTTTTAGACTGATTTTGTCTGTTGGGTATTACTTGTGTGGATTTTGGACTGATATATAGGTTGTAATGCTTGATATTTTGGACTGAAATTTTCTATCAAGTAATGACTGCTTCGAACATACTACTGTGTTGGCGTTTTAGACTGATTTTGTTTGTTGGGTATTATTTGTGTGGATTTTGGACTGATATATAGGTTGTAATGCTTGATATTCTGCACTCAAATTTTCTATCAAGCAATGACTCCCGTCTAGTATTCGATTGGATTCTAGTCCTGAGCTTAATTGTGCACCCATCGCAATTTCAAACAGTAAATCAAAATGAACACAAGTCAGAAAAGATACAGGAGTAGGAAAGCATTGAAATTCCCAGAAATTTTCAGCTTCAAATAATCTGGCCAAAAAGAAGTGGTTTATATTGGCCATCAACTCTTCCCATCTCACACATCTATAGTGAGAAGACCGTCACAGAATACTCCACAAAAAGATAAACTTGAATAACTCAAGAGATTAATAAGGATCTAACTCTTTTGGGGATCGGGTAAGGATATACCTGCTGATGCACACTCAAATCACTCAGACTCGTATTTGGGCTGAAAGGGAACCCTGTCGGCTACCATGGGCTACGTCTCTGGATCTGGCGAGGCAGCTATCCCTCGATCGTCAATCGTAGCCGAAACGTTGGATTTGAATGAAGCTCTAGATCTCCGAGTGCTAGATCTGCACCGCCTCCTGTGAGTTCAAGCCTGTCTGGTGAAGATGCGGCTGAGACATTAGCTTTAAGAAAGCTATTCTCCTTGTGTTAGATCTGCGTCTTGAAAAAGTGGTGCTTTGGGCTCAAGTTCATCCAATGAAGAGGCGGCTTCTGCTTCGGTTGAGAACAGGGAAGGCGTTGGCTAAGTGATGCTCTGCTCGATCTCCCCTTTGACCCCTCTTGTGATTGTCTTTCTTTGCTTTCTTATCTTGTCCGTCCTAACTCTCCTTGTTTGGTGGCTTTCTATTGGCCGGGGCCTTGGTATGAGTTGTTGTAATGGAATTTACATTCGGTGATCGTCATTTCAATCCAAATTAATTCTTACCATTTATTTAAATATTTTTAATATTATATTTATTAATATAAAAATTTTAAAATTTTAATAAATATATTTATTATCAAAACAAATATGAATCACTAAGCTATTGAAACCTTTTATTATATATATGCAAAAAATTATACATATATGTGTGTGTGTTAAATGTGGGAAGGCAATGTTAATAAACTAAAATCTAGTAATCAATTATATTTAAGATACTTGTTATTCATACAATGTCACCTACCAATAGACAATGTATACTTTTAATATTAATAATATATAAAATACTTGTTATTTTCATAAGGTGATTTGTAATAGAGAATATACATATTTAACAATCAATGATGTATAAAATATTTGCTATTTACGTATGATGACTTGTCAATAAAAAACATATATAGTTAGTAGTCTTGTTTTATAAATCCTAGGATTATATTTATAAAAAGGATCAAAAATTAACAACTTGTGACTGGTTTTATAGTCACCCCGTGCAAATAATAAAAATTTTATATCAATAACTATTAAATATATATGTTTTTCATTAACAAGTCACCATACGTGAATATCAAATATTTTATACATTATTGATTGTTAAATATGTATATTTCTATTGACAAATCACCTTATAAAAATAACAAGTATCTTATACATTATTTATAATTAAAGGTATACATTGTTTATTGGTAGGTGACACTGCATAAATAACAAGTATCTTAAATATAATTGATTACTAGATTCTAGTTTACCAACACTGCCTTTTCATGTTTAACACACACATACATATATGTATAATTTTTTGGATATATATAATAAATGATTTCAATAGCTTAGTAATTCATACTTGTTTTGATAATGAATATATTTATTAAAATTTTAAAATGTTTTATATTAATAAATATAATATTAAAAATATTTAAAAATTAATTTAAATAAATGATAAGGATTAATTTGAATTGAAATGACGAGCACCGAATCAAATTCCATTACAACAGCTCATACCAAGGCCCCGGCCAATAGAAAGCCACCAAACAAGGAGAGTTATGACGGACAAGATAAGAAAGCAAAGAAGACAGTCAAAAGAGGGGTCAAAGGGGAGATCGAGCAGAGCATCACTTAGCCAACGCCTTCCCTGCTCTCAACCGAAGCAGAAGCCGCCTCTTCATTGGATGAACTTGAGCCCAAAGCACAACTTTTTCAAGACGCAGATCTAACACAAGGAGAATAGCTTTCTTAAAGCTAATGTCTCAGCCGCATCTTCACCAGATAAGCTTGAACTCACAGGAGGCGGTGCAGATCTAGCACTCGGAGATCTTCAAATCCAACGTTTCGGCTACGATTGACGATTGAGGGATAGCTGCCTCGCCAGATCCAGAGACGTAGCCGACAGGGTTCCCTTTCAGCCCAAATACGAGTCTGAGTGATTTGAGTCTGCATCAGCAGGTATATCCTTACCCGCTCCCCAAAAGAATTAGATCCTTATTAATCTTGAGTTATTCTAAAACAAGTGCCGTCCCCCCCCCCCCAAAAAAAAAAAAAGAATTCTCCCCTTCCTCCGTGAAACGGATCGAATTCGAACTGACGAGCTGCGCTGCACAGGGTAGCCCAAGGGCGCTTGACTTCTCCTCTGTCACTGTGTATCTCTTCCTTTTTCTGTTGTTTCTTTTAACCAGGGTTTTATTGGGTCATATTTCATCTGTATTCCAAACTCTGGTCCCGCCGTACATGCCAAATCGGAAAGCTTTCATCCACGCCATTCTCTTATTAAAAAACAGACAGGGACATCTTTTTTTTTTTTTTAATTTTCTTGAGAGAGAGCTTTTAATACTCCACAAACCCTTTTAAAAATAACTTTCGTATCATGAAATGATAAAACTCTTCTTGTTTTTGTTGTTTTGCTTGAAAATGATAAAACTCTTCTTGAAGTTTGCGAACGTAAATGATAAGACATCGCATGTATCACTTTTTAAAGAATTTTCATGTTTTTATTTGTAAGCGACTTTGCATAATCTATAAAATAATTAACAGCTTTTCCAATAACGTCCTTGATATTAATTATGACAGCAGATGGAAAGGTTGTCAGATGATTTAAGACCAGTTTGTTTGAGCTCAACAAAAAGTGATTTTCAAATTAATCGTTTGGCTCAACGCAAACTTAATAACAGGGAATATGAAAAAGTATTTTTTTTTTTAATAAAAGTGATTATGTTAATAAATAGTCTGGATAGCTCACCAAAATAAACCGAAAACAGTTTTTTATAGAAGTAATTATTTCACGAGTCGAGCTAAATAACAATCACTTTTTCCAGATCCTTTGAGAATCACTTTATTGAATTTGAACAATTAATCATTTTAAAACAAATAGATGTATTTCTTATAACTTAAATTAGATGTAACTGTGAAGTCGGGAACATAAGTTAAATCCAGACTAGAAATAAATAGTTGTAAAAATTGGAAAAATGCCCAATCACCTTGTTTTCTTACAGTGACTGAACCAGAACAGACACGGGATACCAACACTCGGTAATGCCTCCTTCAGCAGAACTACTCATTATCTTCATCTTGGCGACAGAGTCGTGAAGGCTTCTTCAAAGAGTCAAGACTGTCGTATTGTGATCGACATCTCTTTCGATTAGGTGGGCATAAATTAATTGAAATTGCAGGAGAAGCACTCTCCAAACAATTCAAATAAAGCTTCAAATATTTGTGATAACAAGATGGGTAAATAAGTGTCATCTCTTCCATGTCCACGCACGATTTCTTCAACATCCCCATTAGAAAAGCCATAGAGTGGTACATGTTTCTTATTCTTAACTTCACTTTCTTCAATCCCTTTATTTTCTTCCATTTAGTTTTCCTACACTTCCTTAATACATCCTTAAAGCTAAATGGATCGGGTGCCTGAAATACCAAAAAATTCACATAAAAAACAAGTTATACCACACACACACAAGGGGCTAATCAACATAAAAGATTGACTTGTAGTTTCAAGTTTAGAGTTAATCTTTAGAGAGGATGAAAAAAAAATAGTTTCAAAAACTAACTACAGGAGTGAAAATTGCAGAAGATAACACGTAAAGGAAAAAAATATTCCTGCTTACCTCGTCAGAATCCTCAAAAGGATCGCTTATAAGGGCAAGGGTAAGAGTTTCCAAATTTGATATTCTTTCCAAAGAAGTAGTTAGAACATCCCGAACATCATCCTCAAGAAAGTACCGGGCAACTTGTATTTCAAGGTAGCTAACGTTTCCAAATGAAATGGGTGACGTTCCATCTAAAAGCTGCTTAGAGCCCAAAAAAATAAAAACAAGGAAAAAAAAGACCTGTTAGTTTAATTTTTCATACAAGCCGTGTGCTAAAATTCCACTAAGATTCCAGGGTCAAGTTACTCATGTGACCAACAAATTTTTGCGTCGACCAGGGGCATGGAAAAAAAAAAACAAATAAAACTTTAGATAAATAACACCTACATTCTACTATCTGTATAGTATTACTTTTCCCCCTTTATAATGGAAGAGAATCCACATTGCAGCGTGTAAACTACGATATGGAGCTCACACTCATGAACTAACCTCAAGTGTATCCGTATCTGTGTGTAGTATTCTGGCCCAACGTATAGCTTCAAATAACTGTTTGACTAAACTCAAATTCTGGACCCTCAGATTAGTGATAGTGGCAACATGCAAATTCTTGAATGTCCTTCTATCATAACAAAGCTTTGTAGGAGCGCCTTCCCACATAAGGCTTTGTAGATTAGGCGCAGAGACTTCAACTACAATCTCATCCATATTCAACCTATTATGAATGCAGCGACCAGAGTCACTATAGCAAATGATGTAACTCAGGGCTCGTAGATTGTCGGTGATGATCCTCACAGGTTTAAAGCTGCAGCAATCATGAATGGTTAAATCCTCCAAAAATGAACTTCGTATTGTAAGGTCTAGTTGTTTTGTTGAGACGCCCGCCATATTGACTTCTCTGAGGAATAAACTTTTTAAGGACGGGAAACTCTGAGAAACCCACGCGCCAACTGAGTCTTCGGTTTCAATCCCCTCCAAGTGAAGAGCTTCAAGAGAAGCAAGCTTCATCTCAGGAAGCTTCACTGAGAAGCATGAACTCATAATTAGTTTAAGAACTTTCAAGGACTGAAATCTAGAGAGGCTTGTGAAGATTGAAGGTAACTGGTAATCAAGAGAGAGTTTGTCGATACGAAAAGCTTGAAATAATTTATGGATCCACTGCTTGTGAAGCTTACGGTGTTTGCGTTTCGTACAGAAAGATGAGAAAGAAAGTTGGTTAATTTTCAAAGCACGAGGACGTTGTCGGGAAAGGGTGTTCATAAAATTGAAGACATGTAGGCATGAGCAGTTAGGAGAATGATGAGGTTGGGAGAAGGAGAGAGAGGGGGCGGAAATGCATAAAGCTTGGAACCTTCTAGACAAGGCTCTAAGTCTTGCTATGTCATTAACTTCGAGGAAAGATAAGATATGGTGAAGAATGGCATCTGGGAAATTGCTTAGCGAATTTCTTGACTCCACTTCCATTGCGTGACTTGCTGCAATCATATATAGCTAGGGATGAATGAAACTGGAGACCTAGAATTTTGATCAATCAATGCAGAAAAATATTCATTATTTAAATAGGCATTAATCAAATAAACTTGGCGGAAAATTAGGAAACTACTTGCCTAATTTGATTGCCTAATAGTCATGCAAATTTACACCTCCATTTTGACCTATTTTCATGATAGGTCACCTACTCATACTCTAATTTATGACTTCTCGAATAAACCAGCTCTCAAAAGCCCTCAATAATTCATGTATAACGAAACTGATGTGATATCAATCAATATAATACAGGAATCATCTTCAAAATTTTCATCATAATCATAAATGTTAAATACTTAAACAAATAAAAATGTGGGAGATAAAAAAAAAAAATGTAGGCTCGTTTGTCTGCTTGACTATTCAAATCAAACATGGGCTACACCCTTAGGGAGATAAATTCAACAGAAACAAATTGGATTCTTTACATTCATGTGTTTATACATTTAGAGATAAATAAAATGCTTTTACCAAAAGATATAGCATGCAAAACATATTTCATCTCTACAACCACTCTCTCTCTCTCTCTCTCTCTCTCTCTCTCTGTCTCTCTCTGTGTTTTTTAAATTCACTGTAGATTAAATATTGACTTTCGAGGACGCAGAAGACCTGAACAGTTATCAATGCATATCTTATCAAAAATGGGGGAGAAATTGGAATCCTGGACACAAACAGAAGTTATTGGATACAGTACTATCAAGGATATGAAAAGCAGAATGTGAATATCTATGAAGAGATAAAACAAAAGCCTACAATTAAAAGCTTTTGTGTTTCTCTAAAAGAAACACTGCACGTTAAACACTAATTCTCATTAAAAAAATATCTCGTGTTTTTTTTAAGAACCTGTCATATTAATTAGTCTGGATTAGCCATGTCGAAACCTATCTAGCCATTGGCTAGATGCAGGGAAGAAAAGGCAGTTTTCTGGGCGCTATGTCTGGTTTTTGTGTTGTTACTAACTTACTAATAAGAATTAAAGTGATTTGAGAACAGAAAGGGCAAATTATGAGTATTATCAGTCAGAATCCTTTATAAATTGGGTATATTACATTTAAAGAGAAACAAAACAAGGTAAATATGAGAAACAAGGGTTTTAGAAACAATCCCCCACGCTATGATGTTTGTGACTTTTGTCCCTGAATCAGTTTATAGACGTACATTTATAGACAAAGGATTTGCTTCTGATGTGTAAATATAAATAAAAATAAATGAGCCATCAGTTAGTTGCCAATATTACTTAGTTAGGAAGGGAGGTAGCTTGTTTCCGTAAGAATGAATTATAAGGAATCCTAAATGTAATCAGAAGCTATGCTTAAGGAGAAATTCAGTGTGTTATACAGATAAACCTCTCCTCTCTCTTCCCCCCCCCCCTACTTCTATTCTTTTCCCCTTTCTTTTCACCACCATACACCAGCTTCTCATCCAAATTAGGATGCTAGTCTGTCTGTCTATTGTCAATCGATGTATTATCTATTACTGTATTTATAAAGACAGAGCACTTGAAACGAGTATAATACCACATACCATAAATCAAATAACTTGCCGTTCATTCAGATTTGTCACCAAGAAACTGACTCAAATTTCTTTGCACACAGGTGATGAAATCGAAAATTATCATTGCTATTACAAAAACTGAGACCTAAAGCATCGAACTTGGAGACTGAAGAGAAGAAAAAATGGAGCTAAAGCAGTAAAGCATCAAACTTTCCGATATAAATCGGAGATAGCTTGAGAACACAGGCATCAATGGAGTAAAGAAATATAACATGCAGTAGTTACTACAAATTTGCTATCACTTATTACCATTTTGACTGGCACAGAAAGCATACGAAAAAAGAATGGAAAAGGGTGTCGTTGGGTTTGGGTCACGAACAAATGAAAGCATAACAAGACAAGAAAAGAAGAAGACAGGAAACACTAACCGGCGGGACGACGATCTGACTCGCCCGATGGCGTCACGGTTGCTGAATGTCGCAGAGTACTCTTCTTCGCGCGGTCACAGCCCCAGACGGCTGAGGTTTGTCCGCTTTATAGGTGATTAGAGTGCCAGGTTGGATTAGCGGCTTCATGTGGGCTCTGCCTTTATGGCCTGTTGTTTATGGTTTCAGGTTTCTAAATCCGATTTTTTCAAAAATAATTGATTTTTAAGCCTCACTTTTATTTAAAGGCTGTCTATAAATTCTTTTTTATTATTTTATACAGTTTTTAGAATTAAAATTTTATATTTTTAAATTACAATTATGATATTCAAAAATTAAAAATAAATAATAAAAATTTTACTTTTAAAATATAAGTATATACTCTGACAGTTTAAATTTAATTTAAAAATTAAAAATATTTTATTTTTTTAAGATGTAAAAACAAAAAAAGACTTAAAAGGGGCAACTGAGCGTGGGCTCATTTTTTAGGGTCTAAAAAGTGGATTTCAAAGCTTGATTTTTTTAAAAAATATTATTTTTTTAATACTTAAATCTTTATGAAAATGAATTTTAAAGAGCAACCCTCCGAACCTTGCTTTACTCATGGTGGTGTTGAGAGTGATAGATCTATACCATCCTGAATTTAATCTCACAGTTCATTTTGAAGGTTTTATTTTTATTAAAATAAACTTACAACATTATAATAAATTTATTCTATAGCAAATCTAGATAATATAAATTTAATTGGATCTTCCTCTAGTGAAAGATTTTTCTCACTCTTATCTTTAGAGTGTGTTTAGTTAAAAGAGAGGGAGGGGAGGAATTTTAATGGAAAGAGGGGAGGGATAAAGGGGAGGCAAGGGGAACGAGGGAAGAGAGTGAGATTTTAATGAATTTTTGTTTGATTTATGAAAGAATGGGAGGGAATCAATAATAAGTTAACAATTTTATTATTATCAATTTTAAGTTTATTTTTATTTTTTATTTGATTTATATTAAAAATAGTTATATTGTATTTTAGTAAATTTATTGTTTTACGGATATGAACTTATATTAATAATATTTTTTGCAAAATAAATACAGTAATTTTATATTTTGATAGTGCATCTAATGAAAAAAAATAAAATTTAAGACAACAAAATATATATATTAATTTTGTAAAGTGATAAAATTTATTTAACTATAAGAGAGAGGGACTAAAATAATGCATACTTTTTTAATATTAAATATAGTTTAAAATTTTTAAAATAATAAATAAATAAGTAATTTAGTTATAATTTTATCTTTCGTCTTCCTTCCAAAAAAACTCTAAATTGGAGAGGAAGGTTAGCAGAGGATTGGGGGGGGGGGGTTCATATATATATATATATAACTAATCAAGGTGATCCCATTCCCTTCCTTTATAAAGTACGAACCATATACAGTGCTATTGGTGGGATGTTGCGAGATTCTAATGGAGACTGGATTATGGGTTTTAACCGTAAAGTGAAACAATTATCATCTACTATTTCTAAAAGTCTTTGGCATTTTCAAAGGATTTGAAATTTGTTAGCAAAAAGGATTTTGAGTTTGCCGAGGTTTTCTGTGATTGTGCTAATGTTATATCTACAATTACAATAGAGAACCATAATTATCACCATTTCTAACAAATTATCAACTATACAAAAAAACTTTTGATTAAAAATCGAGAGGTCCAAATTAATTTTTTGTACACAGAAAATAATAGGATGACTGATTTTTTAGCTAAGTCAGCTTTTAGACTTAGTGATGATTTCAATTTGTATTATTAACCTCTCATTACTTAATTGGGGGTTGTTTTTTACTTTTGGTTTTGTTGTTTGCTAGGCTCTATTTTTTCCTAAGTTTTTCTTTTGTACACTTTCTTCGTGAATGAAGGTCTCTAGTATTTCTCCAAAAAAAAAAAAAGTACCAACCACATAAGGAAGGTGAAGCAACTTCGCCCACCTCCTCCAAAAACTCCCACCTACACACACTCTGTGATAAGAATCTTTCAATCTTCTTCTTTCTTCTTTGTGCTTGTATTGAACTCCACTTCTTTTTCCTCTGTCTATGCGTCATGCCTATGGTAATGGATCTTCTCTTGTAGCCTCAAATCCTTTTTTTCACCTGTATCTAATTTTCTATCTTTATACTTCTGGCTATTGGCCATCCTTTTTTAGCTACAAATTTGAGTGTTTTTCTTCATTTCACACTAATTAGCCTTTACTCCTTCCTCCCATAATCTCCATAATCTTATTGGCTGCTCTTCTTTTCCCAAATGATTTTTCTTTCACTGTATCTTCTTTTCACCTATTGGTTGTTGCTTGGGTTATGATCTTTTTGTGACTTGTTAGACTTAATTTCATCATCCACTAACTATTGCTCTGGCCAATCGCTCCCTCTGATTCACTAACTATTACTCTTTGCTATTTTGGTGTTCCTCTTTGTCATTTTCTAATTTTTAAATGTCTACGTTCTTACCTCTTATCTGTTTATCTGTTTATAGTAAATGCTTGTACTTATTTCCTTTCACTCTTGCTTATGTGGAAGGCAGAGTAGGATGTTTTTATCTTATCAGCTTCCAACTTATGGAAAACACTCAAATAGAGATTTTGTTGTTTGCAAATTATAATGGTCCCCGGTCTCTCTACAACTCGCTTCTGCTGGTTGACAGATGGTTTCTAAACCTTATGCTGCAAGAACTCAAGGTGTCAAGCTTCCTTCTTTGGGCACGGTGGGAAACCCTTACCCTTGGCAATACTGCGCTGGAGTATGGTAATGTTCTCTACTCCAGTACGCTCAACTTCTATCATGTTCGGTTTATGATTGATTCCAGACTTCCTCTCCTTTAGTGGGTTAATGTGCCCTTGAGCAATGATGATGATGTCTAGATTGAAGTCTTTTGTGAAAGGGTTTTTTGTCAATGTCATCTCTGTCGAGTTATTTGCCACATTTTCCAGACATGTACTCACTCAGTCTCTGAGGCTTTTGAAGGATTCATTATGGTTCATGGCCATTTTGAACAGGGTTTTGGCATTGCGAGATTGACGCACACTTTTTTAGGCGAAAGGACTTGGTTTCGGTGCTCGGCTCATCACCTAAATTGCATTGTTTCACAAATGTCTTTTTTGTTTTTTTTTTTCCTTTTTGGTTTTAAACCACGAGTTATTATTATAAAATAAATAAAAATAAATAATATTGTAAAATTATTATTGTAATATTAAATAAATAAATAATTTTGAACTATTAAAATTATACTTAAATAGTTCAGATATAAAGTTTAACCTCCACAGTTAAAAACTATGAAAAATTAAGGGAAAATTGACCTAAATAATTTAAAATAAGAGTTGAATATAACAAAATAATTAGTTCTTTCAACCAATATTTTCAGAACCGGACCGGACATTGAACCGAAAAGTCAACGGTTCACGGTTCTCATGATTCAACCGGGTTAGACCAATGATTCAACCGGTGATATAATAATTAAATTAAAAAAAATTATATATGTATATAATAATTTAAATATAAGAAATACATATGAAATTGCTATTTAATTTAAAAAAATAAAATATTTTAAGTTTATCATGACTTCACAAATCACGTGATACAATATAATATCAAATGATTAAAAAAATTAGTCATTTTTTTAAAAAATTGATAAAAATAAAAAAAATTTTTTGCACAGTCTGGTTTTTGAAAACCGGATCCAATTCCTGGCTTGATTTCAGTTCTTGGTCCGAGCACCGGTTCAAAATGGCTCAACCTGACTCAACTCTTAAAATGGCTTTTTTCTATGAACCAAACCGGTCGACAATCAGACCGATCCGACCATCCGGTTCGGTCCGATTTTAAAAACACTGCTTTCAACATAACAAGCTAATGTTTGAAATCTCATTGAAAGATGTACCTACATTTTAATACATGATCATGGCACGAACAATGTTACTTCTAATAGACGAGCAACTGTGCACAATCAATAAAATTAACGAAGCATAAAATATTTGCTATTATAATCCTAATTTTTAGTGTAGATCTGATTGCAAAAATTTCTATATGAAGGTCAAAATTTAATAATTTAAATTTATTTATTTAATATTACAATAATAGTTTTATAATATGTATTTATTATTATAATAATAAATTTGTGGTTTTAGAGAGAGAGAAAATTGCTATGAAACAAGATAGCTTAACACGTGTTTGGTTGGAAGTTTTCAAAGAGAAAGGATCATTCTTTTTGTTTGGTTAATATTTAATAAAAAGGGCAGAAGAGTCTCTTGTTTGGCTAAAAAATTGAATAAATATGTAAATTTAATTATTAATTATTTTTTAAAAATTACTGAGTAACCTGTAAGATGGTGCAAAATAAATCCAGAGCATCCATCGCCTATCATTCATTTCTCGCTGACATCCGTATATTGTTAATAGTATGAGACCCACACTTTCTCTCCCCCCCCCCACCCACCCCCCAACTTCATCCTCATTTTCATCTACCTCACTCTCTCTCTCCAGCTTAATAGTCTCTTCACTTTCACTAAGTCACACGCTCTCGAATCAAAGAACTGAACTGGCTCGTCCACCATTCCCAAGTCAAGCATGTCGTCGACTTGCTTCATCAAGTAATCTAATAACACAGGGAAATATACATATACCTAGAGGATGCAACAATTGTACCTTAATTTAAAGGAGATCGAGCGACGACGTGTGATCATCGAACACATTTATTATCGGGTCAAACTGGTCCACTAAAAGAGCATAAATCAACGAGTTGGACCTATTAACTGTTGGAATATTATTTATGAATTAGCATTAATTAATAAGCTCAATAAATTGGTCCTTATGATCTTGTGTAGACCGTGATAGGTGGACCACACAAGTGAACCCAATGGGCAGAGGTCCAACCCACAACCCAATAGCCGTCAGTTATTTCTTATCTCTTAACTGACTGAGTTAGAGATAATAGATAATATAATTATTTAATTATTTAATAAGGCGGTTACCGATCTGATCTATATAAGACGATTAGTCGGTAACCACAAAGACACGACTCATTTTCTTCTACTTTCATTATCTTTGAACTCTCTGAAGGCTCTGAGGACTTGAGGATTGTGTACCTGCCTGCACTCGAGGTAATCGAGATTTCTCTAACACTCATGGATTCTTCAGGTACGCATGAATTACTTTATTCTATCATATTATTATTATATATGTGAATTGAGATATACATTAACGACGATAGGGAGCTTCCTCCTCGAGCTGATATTAAAAATAATGCACCTAACGACTAAGCAAACATTTGACAACAAGAACTCTTTGTTCGTAAGGTCCGCATCTCTCCCAGGAGGTGGTGTCAGATGCCATTTCATTTAGCCAAAGGAATCTTCTTAGTGGTGTTGTCAAATCCTTTGTAAACTTGCATTTTGTCGACATTGATAACTTCCGAGCAGGCACAGCAAGTGGCGAGGTCGATGGAACAGGCAAGACTTCTCGCTACCAATGGCGCCCATTATGAGAACCACCTTATCTTTCCTGCAATGGTGGTGGTTGATAGAGTTCGCGTCTATTCGCGGCGAGCAAGGCTTGCATGAAGACGTGGCAGGGAAAAGGGCAAGCAAAGAATAACCCTTTAAGTTATTAGGAACAGAGCAATAGTGGGAATGAGTCAAGTAAATGGAAGTAGGGATCAAAGGGAGGGAGAGAAAAAGTATGGGTCCTATACTATTAAAAATAAACGGACATTAGTTAGAAATGGATGGCAAGCAATGGATGCAGCCATACCATTAATCTCAAAAAAAAAAAAAAAAAAAAATTCCTACACTTTAGCCTCGTACTTTTGTTGGGTTTGAATTAAGGTATATCTGAATTTAGATTCAGATTTATTACTCAAGCATGTTAAAATAAAAAAAAAATCCATAGATTTGTATTTTATCTAAATCTAATTATTTTTTATAAGCAAATCTGATTAAATTGTATTGTTACAATTCTTTAGAACTTCAAATGCTCGCCCCAACTTGTCTATATCTAATATGCATAGGCAATGGGTTCTATGATGATATGTCATCGTAGCATTGGGCCACCTCATCCAAATAATGAGTCCTTTTTAGTTTATCCTTATGCCACGTGTATTTCTCTTATTTTTATACGATTAAACTGTAAATTTGTTCTGAATTTTTTTTCCACTTTAAATTAATTTTTCTACTTCTTAAATTAATTTTAATTTAGCTTGAATAATTCCGAAATCTAAAGAAATTTGGATTGGGCCAAGCTATTCATTCTTTTCTCTTTAAGTTTGGGCTTATTGACTTAGTCTGAATTGTAACCAATTCAAATATGCCTAAACTCACCTAGATTATTGTTTCTAATTCAACCCTTATAGATTGAAAAATTGGTTCAGGGGCCAATGGAAGAGAGAACAACATTAAATCCAAAATGCTAGCTAGAGAAAATTAAAGACACCCATGATTTTGATGGCAGCATTCTCCTTTCGGCTGGTGAAGAAGTTACCGACAACGATGATGATGTCACCCCTGGCAATTACATGATCCACGAGGTGAGAGCCAATGAAACTCACACCCTGATGACGACAATAAGAAGCCCTTAGAATAACCAAAATACCTCACATAACAAAAAAGAAAAAAAAAAAGAAAAAGAGGCCCTTGGAAAGTGAACAAGAAGGGAGTGCGACTGCGGTGGATAATTTATAAATAACCAATATCAACATCATTCAAAATCCTTCCAATAACAGTGAGTTCGTGGCCTTGTTACCAAAATTCAACTTGACATTGGTTATCTTAATCTGGTAAGTTTCACAACTTTGGGTTCCTGCTGTATATATAGAGTGCTCGAGAAAATTTAGATGCACTATCAGTTCATATCATAATAGATTTACCTCGACATTCACATTTTGTCCATTGCAATCTTCACATGCATAAACTTTTTTCAATCCCCCCTTTTGTTTGAACTTGCAGGAGAAGACACAAGAGCACGGGCAATAAGTATTGATCACATTAAAGTTGACAAGTTGGTCCGGAGAAGAAGAGATGGAGGCGTTGAAGAGGATGTAAGAATTTTCAATGTAATGTTTTTGAGTTATTAATATTTACATAAGAAGAACAATCTAACAATTCATTATCAATATTAAAACAAAAATTGTGAATAATATAAGTCAAGTGTCCTTTCCAAATTGGGAATATTACATATAAAGAAAGACACAGTGATCTAAATACTAGAAAAAGAGGTTTTAGAAACAATCCCCATGCTATGAATAGATAATCACAGCAATGCTCCATTTCATTAAAAGCAAGGGATTCGCTCATCAAATTGCTTAAGAGCGGCGCCCTAGAAAGTTAGCAACATTAGCACAATAAGTGGAGAAGCTTAGAGTGGAAGGAGGTATTTCTAGAACTAAATGGTGTCGACTTCCCGTGCGATGAAGGAGGTTGAAATTGCTAAGGTTATTCTCGTTCGTTCTCAGGCAGTGGAAGATGAAAGATGCTCTCTTATCTTATACTCCGTCCTATTCTTATTATGGAGTACCTTCAACCATTTCTTACATTATAATAAATATTATTTTTTTAATATTATAAAAAAATGATGTGTATTTTTATTTTTAACTTTGAATTTAAATTATGATACAATTATATTAAATATTTTTCCACAAATCAAGAAATAAAAATTTAATTATTATAAGATAAATATCCTGTATTTTAAACTAAAAATTATTTTTAAAAAATATCTTATAAATAAAATTAAAGGGAATATCATTCAAATAAATAGCATTTAAAATGATAAATTTAAATTAAATAAATATATAAATTTAATTATAAATTATTTTTTAAACGTCACTAAATAGCTTATATTATAAAGTGGTGCACTACCACATATTTTCAATTAAGGTCTGTTTTTTTGGCACTTTGGAGCCCACATGCATCTTCCCTCTCCCTCCCCGACCCTCTGGCTTCCTTTTCACTCTCTCACTCTTTCTCCTCACCATCCGTACCTTCTTCCTCTTCTTTCTTCTTC